TTGCTGAAAGGATAAACTGGCGTTTCAGCCCTCTTTTTAAACAGGGCATTTTAATGCCCCTTCCCTGCGTTTCAGCGTGACTACTACACTCCTTTCCCTCCCTCGGGATTTGTAAAAGTCACACGCAGGGGGCTACGAATCCTTAGCGAGACGGCGGCAGCATCTTCTGAAAGGCTAGTTGGTCTCTATTCAGCCACAGTCACACCCAAGAGAGTTGCAGACCACATGCCCCCCCCCAGTTTTGTTGGAGGTTCAGCTTTATAGGGTTTTTTTTAAGCCCTATCTCCTCCTGACTTCCTTTGGCTTCCAAATACCATGCACATTCTTGGACTGTTCTCTCAGTGCATGCACTGATGTCATTCTTGCTCCGTGGCAGCAGTAGTGAAAACCTTTGACCCAGTCCATAGAGCACTGCGGGTTCTAACGCATGGCTATGTACCTGTTAGCTGTTGAGGTAGTCAGTCTAGGGTTGGCCTATGATCCCTTGGGACGGGTGATCAGAAGTCGTCACTTAAAGCTGAATGGTCCCTGTTCAGTGGTGACTCAGTTGCACACCAAGTGAAATAGGTAAATGGGATGAAGTTCAATAGGGGCAAATGCAAAGTGCTCCACTTCGAAAGGAACCATCAGTTTCACACATCCAGAATGGGAAATGACAGTAGGAAGAAGCACTGCAGAAACAGATCCAGGGGTCATAGTGGACCACAAGCTAAATAATGAGTCAGCAGTGTGAGACTGGCAAAAAAACCCAACCCAAACCATTCTGGGATGTAGTTAACAGGAGTGTTGTGAGCAAGGCCCAGGAAGTCATTCTTCCACTCTGCTCTGCACTGATTAGGGCTGAACTTGAGTTGTGTGTTCAGTTCTGGGTGCCACATCTCCATGCTCAAATCATTCTGAAGAAAGAGAAGTGTTCTCCCCTCCAGCTATGGCTAGCCATTCTGTATCACATCTCTTTCAGGCACGGTTCATAGAGTGAGCTGTTTGGCAGCACAGGGACGCTGGAGACATAGGCCAGCTCTACACTAAAGGGGAAGGTGAAATTAAGATGCGCAACTCCAGCTACATTAATTATGTAGCTGGAGTCCAATGTACCTTAATTCAAGTTTCCCCACCGTCCCCACAGTGGGAGGCCAACAGCAGCAAACACTTACATCAGCTTCCTTTACTCCTCGCAGGAGCACTAGCTGCCACTGAGGGTGTCTTCTGAGTTCAATTTAGTGGGTCTTTGTTAGACCCGCTAAATTGAACTCTGGAAGATCGATCACGTCAGGGTCGATTTTCCCTCTAGTGAAGACATAGCCCTAGACTTTCCAAGGCTCTTGGATAGACAGTGCCTGACTGACAGAATATCTTACTGCCCCTGTATAAAACTATGGTACGCCCACATCTTGAATACTGTGTACAGATGTGGTCTCCTCACCTCAAAAAAGATATTTTGGCCTTGGAAAGGGTTCAGAAAAGGGCAACTAAAATGATTAGGGGTTTGGAACAGGTCCCATATGAGGAGAGGTTAAAGCGACTGGGACTTTTCAGTTTAGAAAAGAGGAGACTGAGGGGGGATATGATAGAGGTCTATAAAATCATGAGTGGTGTGGAGAGGGTGGATAAAGAAAAGTTATTTATTAGTTCCCTAAATAGAAGAACTAGAGGACACCAAATGAAATTAATGGGTAGCAGGTTTAAAACTAATAAAAGAAAGTTCTTCTTCACACAGCGTGTAGTCAACCTGTGGAACTCCTTGCCAGAGGAGGCTGTGAAGGCTAGGACTATAATAGAGTATAAAGAGAAACTAGATAATTTCATGGAGGTTAGGTCCATAAAAGGCTATTAGCCAGGGGATAAAATGGTGTCCTTGGCCTCTGTTTGTCAGAGGCTGGAGACGGATGGCAGGAGACAAATCGCTTGATCATTGTCTTCGGTCCACCCCCTCTGGGGCACCTGGTGCTGGCCACTGTCGGCAGACAGGCTACTGGGCTAGATGGACCTTTGGTCTGACCCAGTACGGCCGTTCTTATGTTCTTATGACAAGATTAGTGTCCTGTTCCATGTTGACATCAGTATGATGTCATCACTTTGAGAAGCCGTTTCATAGTGGTCATTAGCACAAAGTGACTGAATGGCCACTTTTGTTTCCTAGATAGTCATAAGCCAGAATGTTTGAAAGCCCGGCTTCTCTTCACGGGGCGTTTGCACTTGAGAAACTTGGAGACTCATATGTTTGCCCCAATTGAAAAAACAAGTGACCACCACAAGCAAAGGGACCAGTTCTGGATTCTTTGGGATCGATTCAGATTGTGGCTCATCTCTCTCCGCAAGCTTAAATAATTAATATTCACTGTCCTCACATAGGACACCTGTGCAGATTAAGTAATCAATGCCACACGTTGGGGAGTCCTGAGACACCTTAGAGACGAACATTTATTTGGTCATCAGCTTTCGTGGGCTGGAACCCAGATGCCCAAATACATGTTAGTCTGTAAGGTGCCACAAGGCCTCGTTTTTGCTGAAACAGACTCACGTGGCTCCCCCTCTGAAACATCCACACGTGGTTAGTCTAAGATGCATCACTCAATGAAGCAGGTACCCCTATGTCCAGTGGGGATTTTTATTTTGAAAGTCATTTTTAGGGGACACTTCCGTAGGTGCATAGCGCTTTTAAGAAGGTAGGCGGGGGCAGTTCACACAGGACGGGGAAGGGTTCAGTACCAACAAAACAGTGTTGTACAGCAGCGTAGAAGGCAGGTGCTCAGGGAACACAGTTAATTTAACAAGGTCGGATGGTGCAAGAGGCACAGACAAAACTCAGACCTAAGGAAAAGTATGATGCCGCCCTCTTAAATCCTTAGTCACAAGGGGTTTGAGCTCTGCCTTAACTCTTCATTTCTTTTAGTGGTTAGTACAATAAGGCTATGTCTACACTGGCGGCTTCTTGCGCCAGAAATATGCAAATGAGGCTGTGTGGAATATCACTGAGCCTCATTTGCATACCTAATGAGCTGCCATTTTTTTCAGAAGAGGCTCTTGCGCCAGAAGTAGCGTCTACACTGCCCCTCTTGTGCACTGCCGCAATACCGATAATTTTCAGGAATAATGGCATGGCGCAACAGGGTTTTTCTTGTGCAAGAAGGGGCAGTGTAGACGCTCCTTCTGGTGCAAGAGCCTCTTCTGAAAAAAATGGCAGCTCATTAGGTATGCAAATGAGGCTCAGTGATATTCCACACAGCCTCATTTGCATATTTCTGGCGCAAGAAGCCGCCAGTGTAGACATAGCCTTAGTGTTGAATTAGCTTATGGACGAGAGCTTTGAAAGCCTTTTGTCAGAGGGAACAAAAAGTTAGCGTCCGTGGTTATCTTTGAGAACACGAAGAGGACAGATGACATCGCAGAAGACGGAAGAAGAGCAAACAGCACTAACTTTCAAAAGGGAGAACATAAAAGCTCTAGGGATTCCAGTTCAGTCAGCTTAACTTCGTTACAGCAAATGGAGTATTTTTCAGGTGCAATTTTTGTCTGACTTCATTTTCGCCAAGGAGCCTTTTCCTTCCTGGGATTTTTATACCGATACTCATGTTCCCCTTCAAAAACAAAGTTTCTGCTAAATCTTAGACTCCTTCTATGAGCCTGAAGCAGTAATTTCCGGGAAAATTTTAAACACATTACAGAGACACAGCTAGAACCCAATAGCAAGTGCACTAAGGAGTTACATTCCTAGCACCAAGGTACTTTAGTGCACTAAATTAAAGGCACACGAATACCCAGAACCAACAGGTGTTTCTCACTCTGCTCCTCCAGGTAAACGAACTGTAACTGTGATAGCGACTGTAGTTACTTGGCAAACTCCTCACACATCATATAAAGAAACATTGTGCCATGAAGCAGGCAGGCAAATGCTAGGGTAACATTAATTCTCAGAAGCACTAGTAGCATCCGCTATTGTTTAAGCAGAGCTAAAGAAAGCAGCATTCATTAGTGTTGTACCATTATTTCCTGCAGCCATTCACTCCTTGGAACTGGCTCTCCCCCCATATATTAGCACAGACCTGGAGGCCATTGACAATATCCTGGTATGCTAGAGCAGTGTTTCTCGACCTTTTTTTATAAAGTACCCTTTAAAAAAAAAAAAAAAAAAAAAAAAAAGGTAAGTACCCCCAATCCCTACAGTTTTCAGACACACACTTTTTTATTCTACCATTGCAACACATTTATTTAAACAACTTCATTGTAGCCAGGCGGGTGATGAATTTTTTGGGTGTAAAAAGTACAAACAATAAAACGCTGTAAAACTTAAAACAAAAATTCAGTTTTCTCCCAATTTCAGCGGTGTTTACATACCCCCAGACGTCTCTCGAGTGCCCCTCAGGGTGCTCGTCCCACTGGTGGAGAAGCACTGCGCTAGAGCGTCACTTCTGCTCTTCGGAATCGGGTTCAGCTCGCTGGCCCAAAGAGCGTTAGCTAGTTCTGACTGGGTTTTGCCTGCTCAAGGCAGGGACTGCTGTTCAACACCATCCCCCAGTCCCAAACAATTACTGGCCCAGACTGAGTGCTCTGCTCTTCTGGATTAGCCCAGAGGACATTTCCTAGATTGCCAACCACATGCATGATTAGGAGGATGGATCCAAATGACCAGAGAGGTCAGTGCCATCCCTGGAACTCAGGTGTGCTAAGGATGCAAGATGTGCAGACATGCATCTTCCACTGCACTGTCTGGGAGCATCCCGAACGCCGGGCAGGGGGAATCCAGGAAATTGTGTCCCTTGTTCAGGAGCAAAAGGCTGGAGGATTCGCAGAACTAGTCTGCTTCAAGCCCTCTCGAAAACAGCACCAGCCCCCTCTCAGCATCATGAATGGCACCGTTTCCTCGCCTTTTGCTGCCCTGTCTTAGGAGGATCTGCTACCAGGACAGGGTTCCAGGGACGGTGCTTTGGTTACAACAGGTTCCGTTTATGGTTTCACACAAACTTTAAAGAAAGTCACTTCAAGCATCGCATCGGCACAAACTCATTTTTAAAACTTGCCAAAGTTTATTCTCTTATCATACACAGTAATCACTACTTCGTTTCAGATGTGGGAAACCCACAGGTAAGGGCAGGCTTTCTACACCTCCCCTCCACAGTGCATTGTACAGAACCGTCAGTTATGCAGATTATATTGGAATACAAAACTGCATTATGTGAAAGGACATTACAATTAAAAAGTGGATTTTTACCCCGATTTGCCCTGAAAAACCATTTCTAGGATCACACTGTGCCATCTCTCCTTTCACAGGCAGAATTCAAAAAGCTCCCAATTGTGTTCCTTATTACTTCTCCCCGACATAAAACGTCACAGAATAGCTCTTCACTATATAGAAGAAAACAGTGTGAAGTTGCCACATGGACTGGCTGCTAACGTGGTCTCTTCCACCAGCACTTCAAGACAGTACTACAGTGCACCAGAAAGACACAGAACAAATACACACCAATCTCAATGACTAGAGTGATGAAGCTGTAAATACTACACAAGAATAATGGTCCAAGAGCCTGAAGTCTTGTACTTGCTGTGCATTGCAATGCCTTTGTAACTTACACAACTTGACAAGTTTTCCAGCTGTTTAAGAAGCCAGGGGGCAGCAGATAGCATCTACACAGACACACATTTGGCTTAGTACAGTAAAGTCTGTTCCATACGGTTTTCTCTCCTGCTGATGAAAAGTGTGCAGACACCCACAGAGGCAAAAGCACTTTGTTTGGCAAGGTCAGAATTCTGGACTTATCTGGACATTCATTGGCCTGGAACAACAAACTGAAATTTCAGGACTGATGTTTCAATCCCCCTTCATTCGGCCACAGCCAATTTATCATTTGTTGTTGGGTTAAAAAAAAAAAAAAAGAAAAAAAAAAAAAGGATTTTTTGCTTTTTGTGATCAACAGGAGTTAGAAGCAGACTGAGAATGAAGCCAAACCAGAGCTCTTTGGGATGTCCTCGGCAGGCCTGGAGTTGTTACATCTCTCTTTCACAATCCCTTTCTTTCCAGTTTTTCCAGGATGGCCTGGATTCGATGAACAGCCTCCTTCCTAACCTGTCGGACACTGTCCTGGCCGCGAGTCTCTATAGAATCCAGTTCCAGCAGCTCCTTGGTCAGCATTTCCTCCAGGAGCCGGTATGCTTTGTCTGTCTTTTTTCCTACAAATTCGTCCACCTCTTGCTCCAACTGCTCCACTTCCTCCATAACTTGCATAACCCTTTGAATCCCGGGCTGTCTTCCCAGGGAGTCTGGCAAAGGCTGGTCACTGGGTTTAAATCCCGCATCCTGGTTCACAGAAGGTTTCCTAGGTACGTTATCATACATTTGGGGCTGCGCACTATACTGCACTTTGGAAGTCAAAGGGGATGGTTTGGTGTTGAATTGAGCTGGCTTGTGATCATTCATAGTCTCCGCTGGCTGGTGATTGACTTCTGGAAAGTAGTGGTGGTGATTTGCTCCGTGGTCCGGTTGGTCATAGGAAGGATCCTAAATCAGAAACAAGCAGCGGGTGTTACATGTGTCTCCTTCAACACCCGTTTCCCTACCCACATCCTGCCTCAAATTGGGAGGGCTGCCGGCAGGTGTCTGAGCGGCAGGAACGCTTTGCCCCCCTGCTCATTTGGAAGGTGTGCATGCCCAGGATGGCAGTGCAAAAAGGGTCCAGGCAATGGAAGTTATTGAGGGTGAGGCCTGCACTTTGAGACAGTCGTCCACCCTGAGGTCATAATATCCCGTGACCTAACAGCGAGAGACTCGCATCACTTTGAGATGAGCTTTGCTCCCCCAAGACCGGCCTGAAAAGGAATGCTCAAAGGCCGTCGGTGCTCAGGACTTGGACTTATTTAAGAACCAACGAGTGAGAGGAGCTAGTTGGCTCTCCCCGCTGTGTCGGCAGAATGGCCGTGACCGCTCTGAAACCGCCACGGGGGGTCAGGGTCATGCTTGCTGCAGCGATGTTAACAATGGTATTTGCTGGCAGGATTCTAGCACCATTCCTCTGGGAAGCGTGGCTGTATTTGAGGGGGTCATGACAGAGGCTCCGTCACTGCAGGCAGGGGATTGCTCAATTTCATAACTATTCCCAAGTGACCCATTCCTGTCTGTGCTAATCCAAAACATCCACAGTAGAACCGTGCTAGCAAGTACTTTGCCACACAGCTGATCTCCTGGTGTGGACCAGGCCTTCAGTGGTCAGACAAGGGAGGAACAGAATCTCCTATTCCCACAACACTTAATTCTTAGCAAAATCTCCAGTAAAGGATTCCTGGGCCCTAGGAGGAGGACATGTCCTGATCCACTTGCCAGTCTGCATCGGGACAGGCCCTGCTAGGCCAGTCTCCTGGCTCCCAGTGACCAGCCCTGGATGCTTCAGAGGAAGATAGAAGTAACCCTGCAGCCAACACCTCTGGGATGCCCCTCGTAAAGATCTCACCCTAATCTCTACTAACGAGAGACTGTTGTAAGATCTGGAGCATGAGACGGGATTTCCCTCCAATTCCGCCCCCTTTGGTTTTCCCAATAAGTATAACTGAATGTTCTGTCTGGATACCCAAGGGATCGAGTCTAACAGACAATGAGGAGAATGCCTAGCGGTCATTAGGTTGTTTCTGTGCGGTACGAACCCGTTACTGTAGCATGGGGGAGAGAGGTAGAATCACGTCACAGTGATGAAAAGTACCTGTGGCTTTCAGGGAAGCAGTGTAGTCTAGTGGTCTGACCGCAGACCTGAAGTCTGAGCTCATCCGGACAGATTCACCCTACACCTTGTTAGCACTGTCCAGTGGTCTGAGCAGTCCGTCAACACCAAACTGTACTGGGTGATTTCTAAGAAAGGTCTCGCCTTGCCTGGGCAAGTGGGAAGAGCCGCTCGCTTAGCTTCTGAGAAGGGGGAGCAGGGAGCCATTCGGCTGAGGGAAGACAGGCAAAGCAGACGCCCCAGGCCCCTGGAAGCGTTCTCTCTTTACCTGTGTGTCGGGAGCTGGAGGAGGCGGCGAGGGCGCACCGCTGCCAGGCCAGGATGGAGATGGCTCTGAAGCAAATGGACCTCCTTGGGGTGCTGAAGCAGCAGGCCACGTGTAACGAGGCTGCATCCCGTAGGAAGGCCACGACTCATCCTGGACTCGTGGTTGTGGTGGTAGCCCCTGCGGGGGAAGGCCAGGGCTGCTGTCTCCTCCATATGGATAGTGTGGGACAGGCATACCTGGGGTCTGCAGGAAGAAGGGAATGAGGGTCAGACCTTCAGTCACGTTCCCTCCGCCACTGCAAACACATTCGGATGTGCTTCTCCGCTCCAAACACACGCTCCTAAGTCAAGTCAGACCAGCTACCTGGGCTGTTAACTCTGAGTCCTAGGTCACGGGAGCAGTTACTAGGGATGTAAAGGGTTAACCAGTTACCTGGTAAGCATGAGCCTTACCGGCATGGTTACTGGTTAACCGGCGGCCTGGCCCTGCCGGAGCAGCCCCCACCCGCAGCACGACACGGCTGCGCCAGCCCGGCCAGGACCGGTGTGCGGAGGGCAGGGGACGCTGCTCCAGGGTTAACCTGTTAAACAGCATTAACCTGTTAACATTTTAAAAGGTAATTACCATCCCATGGCTGAGACGCTGGCCAGCGATATAGTTTAGTGCAGTCTAAGCACTGTGTCCGTCAGTCAGTCCGAGAGCTGCGTTGCCAGATCGGTCTCAGGCTAAACGTTTTCCATGCGGAAGCCTGGAGCAGCAGCTAAGCAGTGCACATCTAGGGCTTGGACCCGCAGGGCCGGCTGCCCTAGGAAGCACATGCCAGCCTTGGCTACAGACAGGCTAGATCCGGTGCTGAGCTGGGCTGTACTCACACCAGCCCCCAGCACATTCCCAAAGGAGCGCATGTTCCTTGCTTGGACTAGCCTCCTTACCGGCGGTGGAGAGTATCCTGGAGCCTGCCTCCTGAGCGAGGGGCCTTCCGCAGGGCAGTCTGCTGGAGGGTAGTTCCAATGCGCGGCTGGCGAAGGAGGCCGGAACATGCTCGCAGGCTCTGCCGGGTAGGTGGCCCGAGAGTGCCCAGAAGAATAGTAAGCATGTGACTGTGGCAGATTTGCATATGGTGGAGCAGCCCCAGGAGCCGAGGGGTAAGGGGCACCATAGGCTCCATTTGTGTAGGGAGACTCCATTCCCTGAAAAACAAGCAGAAACAGCTCTCAGGGATGGACACAGACTGTTGTGGACACCACCGAGTTGGGAGGGGCTGCAAGCAGGACAGGAGCAGAACACTTCGAAAACTGGTCGGACACCGGCACCATAAAATTCAGCAGAGAGAGGTGCAAAGGCCTGCGCCTGGGAAGGAGAAACAAGACAGGCAGGGGCTGAGGAGGCTGCAGTGGTGCTGCAGAGGGTCCGCGGGATACAGTGGGTGACACGTCGAATAGAAGGGTGTGCCGGAGCGGGGGAGCTGGCTGCTCTGGATGGCGGAGTCTGTTCTTGGTGCTACGGGGCTGCAGGATCCCCGACTTGCCGCCACAGAGGGCACACAGGGATGCTGTTGTGAACAAGGCAAATGCCACGTGGGGCTGCGGTCCCAGGCACGTAGTGTGTAAGACGGGAGGGAATGGTTCTGCTTTACTCAACACGGGGCAGACCTCCAGCATAAACCTGTGTCCAGGTTTGGACACCCACCCTGCAAGGAGCAGGAACAAACTGGACAAGTCCCGAGCGCTGCAATAAAACCGATAAATGGTTCAGAAAGCCTGATCCCGGAGGAAAAGTTGAAAGAAACGGGCATATGTGCTTTGGAGACGGCTGAGGGAGGATCCAAGTCTTCAGATGCGTGGAAGGTTATTACAAAGAGCACAAGATGCAATTGTTTTCCATGTCCGTCAAAGGAGGGACTCGTAAGCAGCGTCATTTGCATCAAAGAAGATGGAGGCTGGATATTAGGAAAAAAGTTCTCACTAAGCACTAGAATAGGTTACCAGGGAAGGCTGTGGAATCCCCATCTTTGTCTAACCTGTCCTTAGACTCCCAAACGCCTGTCTAGGTACACTTAACCCTGCCTGCAAAGACGGGGTCCACAGGCAGGGCCTAGATCACTTTCAGAGGTCCCCCCTACCTTTCTGAGATTCTTGGGCTATGTCTAGACTACGTTCTATTTTCGAAAGAGGCTCTGCAAATTCCGTGGGAACGTGCATATCTTCTTCTGATCTCACTTTCAGAAGAGGATCTTTCAAAAGTGAAAGTAGTTGGATGGGGGGGTTGGAAAAAAAACCCTTTTTGGAAAAAATCCACTCTTCCTTAAAAAATGAGTTTACACAGGGTTTTTTTTTTTTTTTCCGAAAAAGGGTTCCCCCCCCCAAAAAAACGGGTCCAGCCTACTTTCACTTGTGAAAGATCCTCTTTCGAAAGTGAGCTCGGAAGAAGATATGCAAATTCCGTGGGAACGTGCATAGCCTCTTTCAAAAAATAGAACATAGTCTAGATGGACCCTAGGACTGGCCAAAGGCTCTGAGGTCTAGAATAGGAGCAGCAACAGGACTGTGCAAGGAAGGAGTGGAATAGTGTTCAGGCAACTGTAAAATAGGGAATTTAGTCTCAAATCAGGAAATTCAGAGTTATGGTTTCCATAGCAACTGAGCACACGCCAGTATGGAATATTAATATTGTTGCTGTGGGAACCACACCTCTTCCCTCACTCGAGTGTCTAAGTCTGACCATTCAGGTCGGATAGAGGTTTTGCATTTCAAAATGTGTGGGGTTGGGGGGAGGGTATTCCACCCACAGGAATCTAGGGTAGGACTGTAACTGTCCTCCTGGGAGGTCTCGTTATCAGGCACTGCAGAGATTCCCGCCAGAGAGGCTGACAAAGATCTTGCTGTCATGGAACAGACTAGAATGGAGCAAGAAATGGGGCAGCCTGGGTTGCCCCATGTTGTCACAGCAGGGGAGCCTGTAATCCAACCCTCCCACTCCACCCACAGCGCGGCCCATGCTAGGGCTGTGGTGAGCCGTGTGTCCATGTGGGGCACGCTGCTGCTAGCTCATCGGGAAGCGCAGTTATGGTCCCTGGAGCCAAAGCCCCCCCCCCCCAGCTTTCCCAGCCATTCATTTCTCCCTCACAGGACGATCCTGCGGCCTTACAAGTGCGGTGCATGGAGCATGCTCCCTGATGGCCAGGAAGTACTCTGCCAAGGACACAGCCTTCCCTCCGGAGTCTGGCCTCCTATGCCTAACCCAGGCCTGGACGTCGTGTGGGAGGATGGCCAGGAACTGCTCTCTGATTAGCATGTCAGCAATCCGGGCTGCACTCTTGCTTTTGGGCTGGATCCACTTGCGGCACAGCTCTGATAAGTGAGCGAAAGCCTCCTGGGGTCCCTCCGCCTCCTGGAACCTGTACTCCCTGAACCTCTGCCGCCACACGTCTGAGCAGTCCCCGGCCTCGCTCGCGGCACTGCTCTGAGTCTCTTGGACTTGCCGTGAGAGACACAGACTTGTACGTAGGGGCCACAGGTCTTTCAGCCACCGATACGCCCTCTGAGCATGTATCCAGCACGAGTGCAATGGCTCTACATGGTCCTGAGAGGGGAGTGCGTCTCCGGGTCTGGCCTGGCTAGCTCTCGTTTCCAGCTCCCGGAGAAATTCCTGAAATTTCATTTCTGCCTCCTCCCATCTTTTCTCTGCCTCCTTGCACCGCCTCTCCCCTTGCAGAAGCTGGAGGATTAGCCACTTCACCAGATCATCTCTTTCCAGAGAGCCTCTACCCTGTGTTGGCTGCAGGCAGGCAGCTGCAATGCCCTGCAGCAGACAGTCTACCCCAACATCCCCCCCTAAAGGCAACGGTGATGATGCAAAACCCTTCGCTGAGTCTTCTCCTTCCACCACCACCTGCTCTCCTGGCTGCAGAGCGATGGCTCTGTCCCTCTCCAGTGGGCAATCCGCCATCATCGCTTCCCCCTGCAGTGGACAGTCTCCCTGCTTTCCCTCTTCCAGGTGCAGCAGCAGTGCTAATGCAGCACCTTCCACCTTGCCTTTGCTGGTCTGCCCTGCATCCTCGAACGCTCTGCTCTCAGCTAGCTTTTTTGGGGGCCCCTCCCCCCTCAACCCGACAGTTTTCCTATGGTAAATGTGCATCTTCTCATCACTAGAGAAAGGGGATAGTGCACTCTGCCTTCAAGTGCTATACTTAACGTTCCGTCAGCCCCCAAAGCGGGCTGTCCCGGCTCCAGACTCCCCGACCCACACTGGAGTCCGGGCGATGTGTAGCTGTCTTTGGACTGCCCGGCCTCTCTGGTTACAGGGACCTTGAAAATCACAAGAGCTCCCACCAGCCTTGAAATCTCCCCCTGCTCTTCCTGCAAACAGCTTGGGCACCTGCGATGTGCGTAGGTAACAATGGTGGCAGCGACACGCGGCAGGGCTCTTAGCAACGGGGCGCAGCGACAGAATGGAACCCAGCCCCGGCCACACGCGAGCAGCTTGGTTCTGACCAGGTAAGCGGCGTGCGGGAGAACACAGACTAGCTCTTGCCCACGGCTGAGGATTGGTCCCTTCTGCTGGATTATTTCAAGTGTCTGTCAGTGTGTTTGCTGGGCAGGCATTCTGCTACCTCCATAGCTGGGGCCTGAGTGGAACAGGACCAGGGATCTCCCTGAGAACGTGCTGACTTGCTAACGATGACATTTTCAAGAGTAATATTTGAATGAACGAGTTAATGTTGGAGGGGAGTGTGCCGTGGCGGGGGGCTGTCTGCTCTGTAACTGGGGTTCCCCAACGCTGGGCTGTGATTCCCACCGACTCACCCACATGTGTATGGGCCAGACACCTAGGCCCAGCCGGAGCAGATAACAAAGCTCTTCCTGGGGGAAGAGACAAAGGGAGGGAGGCGGAGACGCCACCTGGCTAGGGGCAGGGCCTGGGAGCTGGGCAGTGTTTGGCTGGGAAACCATGAAGAGAAGAGACTAAGCAGAGTGCTGGGAGTTGAGGGGCCTAGACACCCTGCCCCAAGGGATCTAGGGCTGCCAGCCCCTGACTTCTTATGGCCACATCAGGTCTGTGCTAGGCTGTATCCCGGAGAAGCAATAAACCCTCTAGTCTACTGGCTGGCGGAATCTCATCTTGCTGTAGACGGGGTGCAGGATCGGGGCGGGGGGAGGGGGGAGTCCCCGACGCACTGCCACAGGGAGAATAGCCAAAAACCCTAACTGTGCAATCACAATTTGGGTTTTTTTGAAACATCCAAGCAATTTAGACACTAAAAAGCTGGAGCATGTGACACGGGGAATTAATAGTTACTGATGTGCTATGACACAATGGGGTCCGCTGCTGGTCTGCGATTCGGGCTCCCTGGCACTATGATGGTACCAATAATAAAAGCCTGAGCAGAGGAGAGAACGTGTATTCTGTTCCGTCCTGTTCTGTACAAGACTCAATACATGACGTTGGCTCCTTTTCTAAAGTTGGGAATTAACATGACGGAAATTTTCTGCAAAAAGCATTTGGCATCGTTTACTAGGGCTGATACTGACTTTGCCTGTGAGTGAGTGTCATCATTCCAATATTCCAACGCAGAACTAGTGTTATTTGTGGGACATTAGTATCACAGGGCCCACTGTGGAAGGCACTACTCACCCACACGTGCCATTACATTTACAGCTGGTCCCCGAGTTGCGAATGGTCGACTTACGACCGTTCGCAGTTATGACCGAAACTGTCGTAAATGGCGGACCCCGAGTTATGAACGTGATCCGCACTTACGAACAGCGCGGTCGCATGTAACTGGATGGGGTCCGACTTACGAACAAACCGAGTTACGGCCAATTGCTTGGTCCATAACCAGTTTGTAAGTCGGGAAGACTTACATAACCATGATGGGAATCCAACTCATACTGCAACACAAACCCTGGCACATTTCATGCCACAGGAGTATGGGATGAGAGTTTACTGTTACTTTATGCAGACGAGATGCAAGTATGAAACCCTAAAGCAGCACTTGTTTTGTAATTAGCTAAATAACATTTTTTTAATGAGAGGAGTGTTCCAAAAGAACATACCAGTTTACTCTTGTATAGAGTAGGGCTCTACAGACAGAGTCCCCGGCCATAGCAATGCTGTTTCTGCTTTACTGGCAAGACGAGCACTGATCTCTTCAGCTAGCAGGATAAAGAAACCAGACAAATTTGCCCAGTACCAAGGAGCAAGAATTTCAGATGTGCATCAAGGATGGACAGGGGGAAAAGGGCAAGGCAGAGTCAACAGCATTCAGGGAGCTGGCAGAAGGAGTGTGGCTCTCAGTATTTTCCTGTTGTACAATAGAATTTGTTTTGGTTGTAATGTTAAATTACACAGGCATTTGCTTGCTTTACAGAGCTCGAATTTCAGGCTGTAGTTTCAAGGGTGATGTAATGGTTATGGCAGGGGAGTGGATTCTATTACCACTGCCATCCCTGACACTGTGTGACTGCAGGCAAGTCACTCTGCCTGTCTGTTCCTCAGTTTCCCTATTTATAGAACAGAATGAAAACTGGCCTAACGTGAGACTGACTGTTTTAAGAGTCTGTAAAGCATTTTGGGATCTTGGAATGAAAGGCACTAGAAGTGTCATCTGGGAAGTCACCTAGGAGTGACTAAACGTCAGTAATTACAAGAGTTTCAGGTGTCGAGGCTACAGTAGTTTAAATTTCAGATTTCCAGTTGAAATCCAATTTCATATTCTGAAGTCAGTGTGTGGGACTTCCTGAGGCTGATGCAGCCAGGTGAATCACAGAACACTAGAACTGGCAGGGACCTCAAGAGATCATCAAGTCCAGTCCCCTGCCCTCATGGCAGAACCAAGCACCGTCTAGATCATGCCTAAAAGGGCAAAGGAACCACGCTCTTGGGGATATTGCCTACATGGGATTCCTGGGTCCTTCCTTTTCAAGGGAAACCAGCCCTTTCGTACTGGGGTATTGGCTTGAACCTCTGCCCCAACAAAACAAACCTTTCAGTTTCAAAAGAAACAAGAGGCCCTTCTACCGTACCTGGCTCTGTAACTCAGGTCCAGCTGGGTATTGACTTGGATAGGGAGCTCTAGACTGCACCGCTGAGTTCCAGTAGTTGGACCCATATCCCGGATAAGGAGGCTGTTCCTAAGGAAAATAAAGCAGCTCATTTTCTCATCGCAACAGTCATGGTTCCAGGGCCCCTGTATTCCTCCCCTCCGGACCAGCAAGGGCGGCTACTCTCAGATTTCTGCTCCCCAGCCATCACCTCTCCTAGCAGAGACACGTCTCTCTCCTTCCTGACTGGGGTACTTCCAGGCTGCACAGATCCTTGTCTGCACTTTGATTGCCCCAGCTGAAGTGGCCGCACAGCTCTAAGCAAGCAGGTTTCAATCTCATGATAAAAATCATTGCAGAGAAAAGCGAGAACAACAACAGACTGACACCCACGGTAATAAGCTCACCAGAGATGCTTCCCGAACTCCAACAAGGCTTCTGACAGGTTACCAGACCCTCCAAGCCCAACACCGGAGTGTTTTTGTGGCCACAAGTTCATACCAGCTTTCGCTCAGAACAAGCACTTCCCCACCCCACACATCGGGGAATCCGGGTCTGTCTACACTGTGCAGCTTTTAGCAACAAGGCCCTGTCGCTACACAGCTATGAGAGAGAACACTGGTTTTCGGCAGTTTGCTGACAAAATGCTCCTTCCCCCCACTGAACCCCCTTTGTTTTGTCAGCCCCGCACACACTTTGCTTTTGCCTTTGTTATAGTCAAGCTTATCGGAGGCCTTTCATTGCGAGAGGGGGCTGCTAGCAGCCCGGATCTGCCTGTTAGGAATGCATGTGGATCACTGGCAAACCTTGCTCTGAGCTGTACATGTACACAGCCACCGCTGCAATCCTCATCTCCAAGAACCAGGCTGTGCTCAGGCCAGGTGGATCAGACCATTATCTTACTACACCAACAGAGTGAGGAACCTGTTACTGATGCACCATCTTCAGCACGGCGCTGTCATCCACTGCCCTCTGGCGCCAGGGGGGCTGAAATTGCTTTACTACACAAATGAGCCTCACACTTCCCCTGGGAAGTTACTCCTCCAATTGTACGGGATATAAGGAGCTCACCAAGCTGCCTTGTGGGGGGTCTGTACAGAGAAAGGAATGGAGAGACACAGCCCCTTTCTAACAGCATGGTTTAAACACGTCTCCACTCTCAGCAGACCTCTCATGGCTTACAGGAAGACAAGCTTCAAGCTCGGGATCCCCACCTCGCAGACTAGAACGGGGTGATGGCAACATGTCATTTCAGGAGTTGGATGCTCTGGGTAATTTCACTTTTGACCCTGAATATAACTCTGAGTGTTCTTAACCTTAAAGTAGACGAATTAACTTTTGGAGTCCCACAAGTAGCATTAACTCTAGAAACCACCATTTGATCCACTGGGCCCATGCCGCTTTGGATATGAGAATGCAGGCCTCTGGTTTTCTGATATCTCTTTTCTTTTTCTTCTACAGTTTTTCCCAAGTCTTATAACCAGTAAGTTACTAGACCCCACTACCCAGCTAACTCTACTGCACCTGCCACATGGGTGATGCTTATCAGTTCTGGTTAACTGGTGGGGGCTAGAGCTTCAGCCCAGCCAGAACAGCCCCGTCTATGGCAGGCTCAGGTGCACCACCTGCAGGGGTGCTCCAGCCTCTGTCCGCAGCAGGCCCCGACTGCGGTGGAGAGGCTGCTCCAGCCCAGCTGTGGGTTAAACATTACATTTAACCAGTTAACCAATTCAATAGGATTTGACATCCCTAATTCTGAGAAGATACTTGGCTACCACTACAACGATGTCTAGACCCACATTCACCTGCAAAAAGGACCAAACATATATACAACCACAGTACCGCTTTGCCTCGAACGGCACAAGAAAATGGGTTCCCTGAGGGAGGAGGTTGGGGGGTGTTAGTGCAGAGATTGTAAAGAGCCCATGGTTTGTATTCATGTACCCTCCCTGCCCCATGGGATGAAAAGAGGCAGCATTAGAGCTAGCAAAAGATTAGACAATGTCTAATAATAAAAAACGTGAAGAGAATTCATAGCAAGACCTGTTGCAGTGCTGTGGGGGAAGAGACTGCCTGCACAGACTGCTGTATGTGAAACATAACACACTCTGTAAAAGACCTGAAAGGGTATTTTCAAATCTTCACACCCAATGCAATTCCAAGCCTTTTCCAAGCTTCTCCCCTGTCCAGGCTAGCTGCCAGAATCAAAACCTCCTCCCTCTCCAGATGCTGAGGTGGCACAGAATCACTTTCCAGTAGTGGTTAGAAGAATAATACTCTCATACAGCAGGCTCAAGCCTCTTTGTTAGTGCACCAGTGGGACTGTGTCAAGGCAGCCTTAAGGGCGAGGTGATGCAGAGTTGGCTTCTGATCACAGTAATAACAAGAGAAATGCTAAATCAATTAAACAGAGCAAAGATTCAGGAACAAAGGAGCGATTTAGCTTAACTGCATCTCAGAGCAGCCACCTCTTCCACACCAGGATAGCGACAGACCATAACACCCAAGGCATCTGCATCACTGTTCCCTATAAGCCGAGCGCTTGGGCAGTCACCCGGGAGAGATACCGCCCAGCTGATTTAGCAGAGCACTCATAGCTGGCAGCAAGTGTTTTGACTGGTGGTGCACATCTGCACATGCCTCGGTGCATGTAACAAAATTTACAAGGCACATGGATGGAAAAAATTACAGGGAACATGCACCCTGGAACCGCAGTTTCCTTCCCCAGCTCCCGTCAGGTGTGTTCATAAGGGAGCCCCCACCTCAGGCTCCGCAGCAGGTCAAAGCCCACGGATTTCACTCCATCTCCCCCCACCCAGATTAGGACCAGCCCCTCATCGATTCTGCCCATGCACCACCGGGGCACAACCCTCCCCCATCTCACTCCCGCCAGGGCAGGACCCTCCCCAACAAACTCCTCCCCCCCTCCCCAGAGACAAGCCCCGCCCCCTTTTCACCCCCCTCCTGCAGGACCCTC